CCCAGGATAGGAAGTTAAAATTTGTGTTTATCCTGAAGTACAGCAATGTGTGGATCTGACATATTTGGATAATGTACCAGTTCACTTGCATGTTTATAAGAAGATAGTGTATTAAAAAAAAAAAAAAAAAAAGCCTTGTCACTAAGCTAGAGAGAGTGGTGCAATGAGATCAGCTGGAAGCTTTGAGTAGCTAATGCTCCTGTACAGTAACTACTGCTTTAGGGTTCTCCTCCGTTTAGGAGTCGACAACTGCTGGTGCTTGTCTTAACTCGAAGTGATGATGAATAGGGAATTCTAGTATGAAAATGTGCTGCCCAGAGATGAAAACCCCGCTAGCTTTAGTAAGTTTGTTCCATAGCTCTTACTGAGCCTGTTTAACTCCATGACTATGAGGAGGGTGGAGAGATTCCCACACACGCAGCTGTGAGCTCTTGTGTGGTATCCTCACCAGAGCAGCTGGATCCAAACCCTAGCAGCAGGGGTGCTTGCAGACACTGGGCAGACAGTTTACCTGAGTGGGAAGATTTCCAAACCGTCTTCCATTGCTCTTTAGAAGCGTAGGTCTTTGTAGCCCCTGCTCTGGGCTAAAGGAACGTGTTGCACATTAGGAGTTGGCAAGTACCAACCACTAGCAAAGCTGGGTTTGGTGGAAGGGAATCCACCCCTGAGGCTCAGAGCATTTGCCCCAAAGTTTCTGTGAATGGAGAGCTAAGCGAGAGCCCCGGCCGTGCTGCCATTTGGAACAGGGACGTATTTTCCTCCTGCTGTACTACAGCAATTCAAATTAGGGACACTTGGAAAGGGTTGGGTGCTTTCCAACTTGGTCTCTTGCCTGCATCTTGGGCTGAAACAACTAAATTTGCCTGGGGTTTGAAATGCTTTGAGTTGTATGCCACACTTTAAGCAGAACCAGAAATAATAAAATACCCTTTGTAGCTCTTATTTCTCACAAATACTCCAACATAGACAGAATCAGGGAGTGCTAGAATAACAGCAAAAAGGGGCTTTGCTCAAGAAAACAACTATTCTGATGCCCTTTTCAGTCAGAGATAGGGCGTAGTTGCGCATGTTAAGTTCAGTGTTGCAAGTGCAAAGTGTTTTCAAAGAGCACAGCATCCCTGCAAGCTAATGTAACTTATTCTAATTTTTTTCTCAGCTGAATCAAAGCTTACCACATAAATAGCCGGTGAAAGATATTTGTGTATATGTGTGCATACACACGCAATGACATAGTTGCCTCTTAATAAATTCAAGTTAAAGGGCAATGCTTAAGGTAGGAGAAGCATATGTTTTTTATTTTGTATTAAATGTAGTCAAGTGATGAAAGTTCAAAAATAGCTTTTCTTGCGTTTAAATTAAAGGTAGAAACAGCTGACGATATGGGCAGGATGGCTCTGTAGAGAAAGCAGGAGGCAGAGAACCCAAATATCCTCTGTTAAAGCTGTATACTAGTGGCCCTTTTGGCTAGGTTCAGCCTACAGAGGCTGCTGAATTCTGCCTTGTGCAGTAGATGCCATTGCCATTGTGGAGAAATGTTATGAATGTTTTTGGAGTATCGCTGGTCTGGGCAAGGGAGAGTGCAGCTAAGAGGAAAGCCAGTCAGTTCATATGTGTGTTTTTATGTTATCCCCTTATTCAGTACCACATACACGAAACACAAATACGTGACTTTGAAGATCTGTTTTGCTATTGAAATTCCTCATTCTCTTTCCAGTGGCATTGTGTTTCACGGAGAAAATATTTAAGGCAGAAAAGACTGTCAGGATGTAGCCCTGTTGATACCATTTAATATCTATCGTGTAAACCGCGGTGGTCTTGCCTTTTTTCAGTCCCCTGCTCTTGCTGAGGGGCCTTTATGTATCCTGAATGATTTCTTCCTTTACGCTAACATTTATCACTTCCAGATTAACCTCAGCCCAATACAGGTGTCCTTTTTTTCCCCCGAATTGAGTTGCGAAAGGTGCTTAATAGCAGAACAGCCACTTGGGTGGAAAGGTTTATTTATGGTCAATTCCTTGGCCTCGTGCATTTAACATCTCCCAGCAAGATCCTCTGAGAATTAGGTTTGTTTTTCAGATCATCAGAAAAAATGATTAATAAAATACAGCCTTATTTTCTCAGCAGTATTGGCCCTCTACCACAATCCATGAATTGTGCAAGAAATGCTTTGTTTAAGTCCAAGTACGCGTCTGACACACCTTCACCCTGCATTTTGTAACTAAGTCCAGGAACAGGCACATTCACTAACAGGATTTTATTTCTATATGTATATATAATGAGTTTTGGCTTTGATGTTGATAACCCTAAGGAATGTGTAGAAAGCATTGAGTTAGAGATTTGACTTAATTGTTTATCTCCCAGGAAGAATTAATAATTTAGTTTGAGGCAATGGAATAGTTAGTATGAAATGCCTACAAAACAACTAGATAGGAAAAGCTATGGACCTTTAAGTAACTTGGCTAAGGAGCAGCTTTCAATATCGTGAAATGGAGATGTTCTTGGGCGGTGGATCACAGCAGAGAAACTGCCTTTGTTTATATGACACAATATCTTTTAGATAAATAAAAATAAGCAAGGCACTATTGAATTTACATTTTAAATTTCTCATGCAACATTTGTTTTAGGAAGAGGATTTTGGAAAGGTTACAGAGGATTTTTTTTTTAACTCCTGTCTACATATATGGGCAAACACACATTAATTTATTCTTGCTGTGTTCTACTTGATTGCTCTCTCTGTGTGTCTTGCACATTTGCTATATGTCTTTTAACCCTACACAGCTGTACTTGGGCATATCTTGGAGAGAGAAGGTTACTCTGTTTATTACTTTGTATGCAAGTATACTACTTTATATCTTTAAAAAGTCTTTTTTCCCCTTCCAGGCACAACTGTAATGACTTAAGATTATAATTGATTTGAATTAACTGCACTTCAAAACTGTCATCTAGTGTTGAAATCAAATTGTCTCTTCGATAATTTAGAGATCAACATCTACATTTGCATTTGGTATTTAGTAAATCTTTAGCCTTTATGATGCAGATGTTTATCTTTTTCAATTATTAACAATGTCTCCAGTGAGAACCACTACAAATTTTATCATTCTATATGTACTAGATAGTAATTTTTGCAATAATCTGTTTTACAATAGTTCTCATCACATATGGATTTTCCTAGAATACTGTTAGCTTGCACTGCAAGTATATGTCATGCATGTTAATTGATCTTCCTGTTAGTGTTTAAGAGCCTTCAGAACAGCGTATTGAGTGTCAGTGTCTCACTAAATTACTCCGGCAATTTCTGGCAATCAGTGTTAGAAGATGACATGCCAATGGTAAAAATAGAGGGAAGTTTACTGATACAGTTTTGCTGCAGGCTGAACGGGCACAACACTCACTTATTTTATATTTGCATCCAACTGTACAAAAAACAGCAGTGGTGTATTATTTTGTATATCCTGGAAAGGGCCACAGTATTATTGTGCCACAGAACTGTCCAGAAGGCTGAGGCTCACTGTAAAAAAAGAAAAACAGACACCTTTTGTCAAGGGGGACTTTATGTGAAATTACCAGGCTGGGCAGCCTGTTTCCAGTTGTTTGTTATGCACCAGCCTCTTGTAGGACCTGACTTGGGAGTAAGACAAATTTTGGAGGACTGTAATTTGAGTCGGATGGGAGGTTTTTGTGTGGGTACTCTGCTCCACACAGCCTACTTGCCTCAGTAGCAGTTGGATATTTGAGCAGGGTATGTGAGTTTTATATCTTAAGTAGTGATGTAGTGTTTCTGGAGATTTAATCTGTACGGGGGAGTTAAGCTTGCCTGTATCTGGCCTCTTTATTATTGCTAATAATAGTTTTATTACTAGCATAGCAAAATACTTTAGGTTTTGAAAGGCTGTTTAGTTGTAATAACTTCATCTTAGTGTGAAGAAGTCTTTTGCTACCATGCAAGCTCAAGAAAAGTGAAGGACTTCATGTATCTCTATTGCAGCCTTGGCTTGACTTGGTGGTCCTCTGAGGACAGTGTGTGGGTAAGAATGCACCCAGCCTAGGGGAGAGGAGGATTTACCAGCTTCTGTCATTTTTCTTCTGGTTTGATGTTACTGTGAGTAACCACTAGAGCAGGTACTGATAGGTCAAAAAAAATGGATTAAAATGTTAACTGGTTTTCTGGTAGTTGATCCGAGTTTTCTGGTCATTTACTGGCCTTGGAAGGATGGGGACTTGTTTCATGGGGAACAGATTCTCCTCCACACAAGGAAATATTGCATGAGAAATCCTCAGTACATTTCTTTCCTGTAGAGACAGCTGTAACAGCAGGGATTTGCTTACTAGCTGGTCTAGGTGCTTAATAATCATTTTGTATATGCAACAGTTTAGGTGCACACCGCAAGAAATAGTTCTTAGAATAGTCTGCACAGCAAGCTGATAATGGCTTTTTTATGGGTAGTTGTGTTTGCTTCAAGAAATATGTTTTCAGGGTTTTTTTGGTGATGTTTTTGGCTTTTTTTTTTTTTTTTTTTGGAAAGTAGAGCTTAGTGGTGTTTCTAACCTCTCTATGTAGAGCAAACAGGCACCAGAGCATAGGAGACTCTTGTTTTGTTCTTTTCACTTTGACTAATGGGATTGCTTATTGCATTCCAAGATCTTGGCCTTTGAGAGCTGTTTCTTACTGCCTTTCCCTTAGAGTTGGCACTGGCTGCTTGGCAGGGAGGAGAACTTCTCGGGACTGATGTTGGCTGAGACAGGGTGGCCGTCCCCGTGCCCACTGACACCTATGACACGACCTTGCTGCTATCCTGTATCCCATGTATATCACACAGCTTTGCCGGGTCAGAAATACAAATTGAGTAGATGTCTGCTTATTTGTTCCAACTGAGAAAGAAAATATGAAGTCTTGTACCAGTTTGGGCTTTCGTGAATTGCTAAATTTCTTCCTCTGCCTTTTCCGTTGCAGTTTGAGTACGTTTGAATACAGTACCCAATACACTGTGCCAGCTATAAAAATGGCAACAAACTGGATCATATTTTTGCTGCTCTTCTTATCTGCTACTGTGGTAAGTTTTATCCATTTTTAAAAATCATATTCACACTTTCCATTTTAACACATGTACAGAATAACTCTTAATGTGGAAATGTAGAAACAGTTCATTTTGCATTCAAGTAAATTGTCCATACAGCCAGATTGTTACCTGGCTTGTGTCCTGCTTTTAATTCCTGTGGGAAAGGAACAGAAATAGCGAGTTACCTCTGCTGAATCCAGAGTAGCCTTTTTGCTAACGCGAACCTTTATGGCAGCAATTGATGAGTTACCTGTGAGCAGTGCTATGCAGACCAGTGGAGACTTCTCACTCCGATTCAGAGGAGATCCAGGAAGCCTTTAGCTCTGCCCCACACATGACCAGGCTACAATATTTCCGTTACTTGGTTTTCCCCTAATTTTTTGTAGCTTCCCTCTGAAATGATTTTTTTTTTTGAAAAGATCTACTTTATTTTTCAGTTTAGTTATTCAAACTAAATGGATGTCATGTCCTTCATATCACAAGTTTCTTCAGGATACATTTTAGTATTCTGAGCATTATCTTTATATTTCACAAGAGTATAGAGAAATCAAACAGCTCAAAGCAAGCCAAAAGCTTCAGGATATTGAGTCTTCTTACAAACATATTTTGGGGTCTAGTCCCACATGCCTTTTTAAAATAATTCAGCTTCAATGTATTTCATTGGATTTTGCAGAAACTGTTCATGTGCTTCTGACTTGAGGAGCATTTCCCCATGCACATTGAAAAGAAATGTGTCAAGATTCACCAGAAAGAACTCATAAACGAAACTGAAAAACACAAAATCAGACTATAGTAATACCTTAAGTTCATTTTCCTTTAGTAAGATAGTGTATAAAATACAATATTTTAAGTTACTGAAATTTAAGAAGCTTCTGTCAGAGTTTGCACATGGGTAGTAGATCTAAATCAGTTAGCACAGGAAGAGATGTAATGTTGACTTGTTAAAACAAGGTTTTTCCTCCTAGTTTTTTGCCGCTGCTATCCCATCCGAAGGGCATCAGAATTTGACAGAGGACTTCGCTCAACTGAGTGTTACACGGAATAAAATTATGACCGCACAGTATGAATGCTACCAGAAAATTATGCAGGATCCTATCCATAGGAAAGAAGGTAGAGATACTATTTTCTCACTTAGTTTTCCAAAGGGAAATGACAACAGATATATTTACTCATTGATTTTATTTCTGCAAGAGATAAAACGTTCATTTATGCAGATTTTAAAAAGAGTAATCAATATTCTCAATTTGTTTTATTTCCTGCTCTGGTAATACCTCTATATCTCTGATATTTTCTTTCTTTAAAAATTGAAACATCTTGACAGATATTATTGCCCTGTTCTGAGGGCTAATTAATGTGATTAATGATCTTAATGATAACTCTTTCTGATAACTCATCCAGAGCTAACCTCAACAGCTCTACCTGTCCTTGTGCCTACTCTTTCTGACTTTACACCTTCAGAAAACATTGAATGATTTGCAGGGGGAAGCAGAGGTAATCGCATCTTTTACAGTGACTTGTTTTCCCCTTCTGAGATGATTCCTTGGAGGTCTGGAGGTCAGCATGGATGTGAGTATGGCAGTGTAGGCCTATACCCCCTGGGGGCGCCACCTTTCAGAAGGATCTGGACAAGCTGCAGAATGTTGAGGCGAGAAAGAGTTAAAAGATGTTTGAAAAATGTTCCCTTGGCACTGGATGGGGAGAGCTCATTACGCCTTGAAAAAAGAAAAATGAAGGAAGATCTGAAAGACATTATCAAACTTGCAGACTTAGTCTTTCTGCATGTCTTTTGCAAAAGGGGTTGGTCATAAGATCTCAGCTCATTCACAAGGGATATTTTAGTTTTTAAAATCTGCTGTAGTGCAAGGGGGTATTTAAACAGGCTCTACAGGGACACTGAGGCATGGCTTCTAGGCTTCCTCATGGCTTCTAGGCTTCCTCATGGCTTCTAGGCTTCCTCATGGCTTCTAGGCTTCCTCATGGCTTCTAGGACACAACTGCGTTTTCAGTGAGCCAATAAATGTAGGCATAGTCTTCGTATGCATCCAAAGTGTAAATGAAATCAGCCAAATGATCTTGAAAGGTCTTTATTATGTGAATTCCTTTGTTCACTTTTATTTACATATTTACTTTATCCGTATATTCTACTTTATCTACTAGCACTACTATGGATCTGGTGCGGCTTATAAATTTGTAAATTCAAGTTAAATGATGGTGCATTTTAATTTTTAATGAAAGAAATGCATATATATATAAGGAGCTATTTGTATTAAGTGGAGTTTTAGTTATATTTTGTTAAATTTCATGTTTCCGTTCTCCTTTTTATGAAGGATACTGACTGCTACAAGTGAAAAACCTCGTTCTTCACCTCTTACTTTGGGAAGACTGTTAGGAAAGAAAGGTTGTAATTTTATTATCAGGTGTCTCCTTGTTTCTAGGTCCTTACTGTAACAGGACGTGGGATGGGTGGCTGTGCTGGAGCGACGTTGCTGCAGGAACAGTGTCAGTGCAGCGGTGTCCCGACTACTTCCAGGATTTCAACCCCTCAGGTCAGTGTGCATGGACATCAACAGGTTTCTTAATAAAGTGAGGTTTAGGATACTCGATACTTCCTGTTTGTCCAACTGAAATCATTAATGTACCAGAATTACAGTAATTCCATACTTATTAATGATATTTTCCTTTATCACATGGAATACCTGGCTTTTTTTTTCTCCTTTCTGCAAAATGCTCTTGTAGGATTCTATGAATCAGGAAATTATACCCTCGTCCTTTATGCTGAGGGATGAACCAGACAGAATTATGATTAATTCTTTTATCTCATTTTTGCAGTTGAAGTCAACACAAGTTTCTCCCACAAATAAATCTTTTCCTATTTCTGTAGTCTAAACTTTCCATCTCGATGATGTGGAAAATGTCACAGACTTACACTCTTGTATGCTTATGCTGTATTTAGTATTTCCCAGGCTCCCTTCATGCCTTTCTTTTTGACTGGATAGTAATCATTGTGTCATCCCAGAAATTCTCCAATCTGTTTCTTTAGCAGTTCCTATTATCTTGATGTTTTCCTACCTGCCCAGTTCTGATTTATATCAGTAAGATGTCAAACTTCACTTTATATCCTGAATGTTAAGCAAAGCATTTAAATATTCCTGTCACTTAATCTGGTAGTTCTCTAACAGTCAGTTTGATATATTTTGATATTCACTGGATTGGAGGAAAGAAATCTATTTGTTTTCTTAAGAAAAACACATCATCACTTTCTCTTGCCAAGCAAAAGCAACAGCCTCTGGTTTCTCAGAATTCATAGTACCATACAAAGTCTCTCTAGTGTTATTAATAAAGTTGTCATTTGCTTGCCAATCTTTTTCATGAAATACTGAGCATCAGGAAGCAGCGCTTCAGCACTGACCGTTGTGTTTTTCTTTTCTGTTTTTCTTTCCAACCACTTTGGCTGACTGTAGAAAAAGTTACAAAGATCTGTGACCCAAGTGGGAATTGGTTTAGACACCCAGAAAGCAACAGGACATGGACAAACTACACGCAGTGCAATATCTATACGCACGAGAAAGTGAAGGTAGGAGAGGTGGATGTGTGTGACCCGTGTCAGGGAGCTGACCTCGAGGGGAGGCTGCGCCTCTCCAGGGTTGGTGCTGGGTGCTTGGCCACCTCCAGCAGAGCCAGGGACAGAGCAAGTGTGCAAGCAAAGCTTTACTTGGGCTTAGTACATCTACCAGAGAGACGGTGAGGATTGTGAGCACAGCGGGATAATCTGTAAGGTGAAAAATATCTTTTTTTTTTTAATATATATTTTCTGTATCTTACAGAGAGTGGTGTTGTGTTTTTGTTTGGTTGGTTGTGGGTTTTTTTTTTTTTGCTGGTGGTAGTGGTGGGTTTTTTTGGTAAAACATTCATTCACAAGATTCTGGACTTGACTCATTATCTGTAATGATTTTATTTTCTTAATCCTATTAGAGTCATTTCCTGTGTAGCAGAGGTGTATAAGTATATGCTTTATCTCTAACAGTTCTGTAGGCATCACAGGTGCTTTTATTTATTTATTTACTTTTACTTTTATTGCAGACTGCTCTGAATTTGTATTACCTGGCCATCATTGGACATGGTCTTTCAATTGCATCACTTCTGATTTCCCTTGGCATATTCTTTTATTTTAAGTAAGTATATTTAAAAACTTATATCAAATATTAATGGTTACAACAATCCTAGTTTCCCACATACTTCAACACAAACAGGATGGGGCAAGAAGGTAATTGAAGTTAGCATATTAGTTTGACATTGCAGATTATATTATAATAAGAGATCACTTATCAGACATCTAAAACTCCAAGTCTTCACTACAGATATCTATAACTTACAAAATAGTTACAACAATTACAAAGAAATAAGTAACAGAAATCATCTGTTGAACAATGGCTTGTAAGGAAAAGCGTCACTAAAATTATGGAGCTCATGGAAAAGATAGAAGCTCAATAATAGATTATTTTGTCTTCTTTAATAATACGAAAGTATTAAAGCTATTGTGAATTTCTTACAAATTTAAGGAGTGGCCATGCCAAGCATGGGGCAGACTTATAACTAAGCAGCAAGTGGAAACCAAAATATTGGCAGAGCAACACTCGAAAGTAATTAATCACATAATATGAGAAATTGTAAAGAAATTAAGACTTAGATAAATCATAGCAATGGGAATAATAAAAACAGACATCGCAATGGCGGATAAAAGATTATGACACTTATGTTCTGTTTATCTGTTTACCGACAGATATCACAGTATTTTCTCACAGGAAAACCTGAGCAGTATGTTACTGCTGTCACAATAACTTGTGACATAATGGCCAATTTCAGAAAACTATATCCATTTATTATTTCACATTTGTGAGCTTATTATAATATGAAAACTGATCTAATTTCATCTTGGTTTGAGACACTCCCTGCAAAAGCAGTTGATCTGCTTTGCTGCCATTCTGCTATTTTATCAAACCCTCTGGGGATTTTATTTCCCCCTTTGGTAGATCCTCCATCCTCAGAGAATGAAATGGAAAGAATCCTGACTCACAAACCGCATTTTCTAGACTGTGGATATGTTGGGATATAAATAGAAATTACAGAATTCAAAGGAAGCTAAAGAAAGTCTTCTACAAGATGTTCTCTTGGGATGCACAGTTCCTCTGAAGTATTTTTAGTAGCAGAAGGGTATTTAAGGATCTAGATTAATACCGGGATGTATTATGCATTGGATAAAGTTTGTATAATAATTCATGACTTTAACAGGTGGGATTTTTATTGGTGGTGTTAATGTTCAGGAGTGCCTTTGAATTTGTCATATTTCCATGTAACTTTTTCTCTTAGTACATCCATAGTTTCAGATGATATTTGCTGGATTGCTGACTACCGGAATATCTTTAATTTGATTAGAAAGACAAGGGAAAACTTAGGGTTTTTTTTTAAGAGAACCACCCAAAAAACACAACCAAAACACTCCAAACACCTCGGATACAGGACTTGACGAGTGTCATCATGTCAAATCACGTCACACATCAGCACTCACAGAGGTTAGCACCACTAGCCTTGACAAGATTATAGATTGATGGAGAAATATTAAATCCTTAAATCACTTTGATTTCCTTTGAACACCTAATTCCCCTTAAGTGCATATGTGGATCTCAGTATTTGTATTCTGCAGTATTTGAATGCATTAGAAAAATAGCTCCCAAACAAAGCTGGAAATTTTAAAAATTTTACCCATTTTATTTTGAGTAAATTTGGAGAAAAGCATTTTTCCATAGTGCCTTGATATACAAGAATATAATTAGAAAGGGAAATATGTCATTTAGCTGAAGGACTATTTGTATGTTATTGCACAAGGTTTAGTCTAGTGATAGGTCATTCTCTTAGATCATAATTACAAGAGTTAAATGATTAGGGGACATTATGTCATTAAGAAAAACAGACAAAAGAGGAGTAAGAGAAGAGGGAGGGTGGAGGCTTAGGAAGAAATCCTTCCATAACCGAAAGCAGTCTTCGTTTTTAAAAGTCATCCGTCCTGCCTTCGTGTTTCTTGTCCTGTGATCCTTTCATGCATGGGTGGAGGTGGGTGTGGGTGGGTGTGCTGGAATATCCAACAGGAACAGCTGCTGGATGACCTGGGAGATGGCCCCGCGCGGGACGTGCCTTTCCTGGCCTCCGCGCTCCAGCCTGACAAAGAGCAGACAGATTCCCGGGGGTTCAGGACTCAGTCACAGAGCTGTGAGCTGGAGCCTCGTGTGTCTTCTCTCTCTACAGATAACACAGAAAAATATATTATAATTTTATATAAAGTGTAGGTATAGTTTACATGTATAAAATATATATTCCAACAATATAGAATATGTGTTATAATAATCAAAGCTTGGTGTTTTGGACATCAAAACCAAAGACAAAACTACAATTACAAAATAACTAGTGTAATATACTTTATTGATTAATATTCATAGCTGTTCTCTGTATTTGGGACTTTGCTTTGCTTTGCTTCCTTCAGGCAAATAGGCCTTGGAGAGCAGCAGCTCTTGCAGAGTTAATCCCTGTGCGGTCTGACTAGCAGTGGCTCTGGAGCGGTTTCCTTCCCCATGTTTAGTGAAACAGCCTGGAATGGCTAAGGGCACCAAGGTGGACTTGCACTTGCCCCGTCTCCCTGATCCTCGTGCAGATCTGAATCCGCTAACTTTACCTGCTGTGTCCATGGGGCACTCCATGCTCCCTTCTTGTGATGGATTCAAAGAATGAGGTTATTTTAAAGTGGCTGCTTTGCAGGAATCTCTGCTGCAGCACTTACACACCCGAGCACGGTCCCTCCGCAGCCAGTCTTGTGGCTGTTCTGTTCAGAGGAGACATTTACCTTCTTCTTTCGTCTGTCATGTTCTTAATGGAATTCAGCAGCTCTCGCTGGCTTATGTGCAGGCTCTGCAATGCTCTGTTAAAATGTGAAGTTCCCTCACACGCCACAGTTAAAAAGGAATCGCCCATGTCCATACCTCATTTTTTCCCAGGCATGCTGTTTGAAATGTCTAAAAATATGGATTTTTGTTTCCCTTCGTGACTTGTCCTGTGCTGATCTTGTCAACATATTTCTGGTATCTCTAACAGCAAAGAGCAGTTGCTTATGTTAGTGACAGTTTTCCCTCCTCTAGTTAGTCACTTAATTTTTCCAAACGAAAGTGCTAAGTGTTCCTGGCTAGAAAATGGAGGGCAGATAGGTGCAACCATATGGCCCGACTCCCTGAGCACTTCCTGTACCCAGGCTGCAGTAGATGTCTTGTCCGAAGCTCCCAAAGAGCATTTCCCACCATGCCCTCTACCGCTGTCATCCTGCTGCAATGGGCAGCACTGCTGCATCGTGCGTCGGCACCAGGACAGGCCTGATTTATATGGAGTAACAGATAAATACAATTCTACTGTTTTGTATCTGTATTCTATACTCTGTATATAACTTAATTATATATAAAAGTCAAGGTAAGATTCACACTTTTTTACAGATCTCATTATCTTTCTAGTTGAAGGATTAGGGAAGGAAAGTGATTGAGAATGTGAGTGAAATGAACTGTCCTCCAAACTCTTGACAGATTTGGTTAAATTGAAATATAGACAGACTTCTTCAAGTTTGATAGTTAATTAGAACATTCTTCTGTCACTAAAAATAAAATGTATAAATCTTCTCAAATATATTATATTATCCTTACTCAAAACCATTTTAAATGGCAGTACAAAGCAGGTCCAACATCCTGGAACTGAATATATGTGTTGCCCTCTGTTGCCAAATAAAATGAAGATAAAGGCAAACTGTGATATCAAGTTACTTCTATTATACTTGGACTAGAGATGAAGAAAGAGTTAATGTGAGACTTCATGAAGTAAAGAGCTATGGTATTTCAAAATTTCAGAGTTGTCCCCAAGTACACATAATTGTCCCCTGTGTATTAATTTGTTCTTGTTTCTCTTTTCTAGGAGCTTGAGTTGCCAAAGGATTACCCTGCATAAAAATCTATTTTTCTCTTTTGTTTGCAATTCTGTTGTAACGATAATTTCACTGACTGCAGTTGCCAACAACCAGGAGTTAGTTGCAACTAATCCAGTAAGTGGAAGTATATTTGGCAGCCTTGTTGATTTGCATGTGAAGAACTTGAGCAATGCAGAAGAGAATAGGAAGATTTGAATAGTAGTGAAATGATGTAAATGATGTATAGTGAGGTTAAAATGTTCAGTAATGATGTATCCATGTTATATACCACAACAGACGTCTTATGATGATTTGGCCAGTTTATGTTAGAGATTTTTAGATAATAAAATACCCTGGGAGACAGAGCCTACTGAACTGCTCTGAATTTGTGCAGATCTCTTTTGCACTGAAAGAACTGCAAGAAAACAGCATATTCTGGATGATCTCAGGGAGGTTATGACAGATTTAATCCACCAAGAAAAGGCAGTACGGAAAGGGCAGTACACATTGAGTGTATTTCTCAGTCTGTTAACTACTTTCTTATGATTTAAGCTCTGCCATCTTCAGCTGAAATGAGAAATGTTTTTGTTGTTTGTTTGTGAGGGGAGATAAAGCTGATTCTTATATTCCAAATTTAATAGACTAGGAAAAAAAAATGGTAGGGTCTCTCTCATTCCCTGATAACAGTGATAAGTGGGATAAGTGTAAATGAGTAGCCTCTCCAAAAAGACAAGTGTTAGAGCAACTGAAAAAATGAAAATTAAATACAGAAAAAAACCCACAAAATTCCCTAACTATGGCTTTATTTTTAATTAGATCTGGAAGATAAGTTCAAATTCTGTGAAAGTTAGGGCAAAACTACAGAGCTTCTAGGAATCGCCTGCGAAAAAATTATTTTTCTCCTGTAAAAGCCCATAAAAGTAGGCTTGAAATAACTGAGAATCCCATTGACAAGTGAGTTGGGGAGCAGAACACGGTGACACAATATTGATTTATGATTAGCTTTAGGCTAAGTGCCAGCAATACATCCAGTGTCTGCTGCGCACAGTAATCTCAGAGGAAATAATGGATCCACACTGTCCAAAACAAAATTTAACAAAATTATCTGTTGTTACTTTTTCACAACCCCATATTCTAGTCCTTACAATGAGCTATATCATAATATTTTAATTGAAAAGTATTTTAGTGTACTTTGAGACTAAATATACATTTATGCCAACAGAATATCTTCCCACCAAAATCTGTCATGCAGATTCTTATGAATATGTTAAGACTCAAAGTATTGTCAGCATTTTCTAAGTGTAATTAATTCTCTGGAATACTTACCTGTAGTGATTAGTATAACAGAGGGGATTATTACACCAGGTGAATTTCTAGTGCAGTTACCATTGGATAATTTAAGGGTGCTGGTTGGCTGGAATGGTCAAAATAAACAATTCTGGCAATTAGAAGGCAAAATGTCATTACTGTTCCTTGTCATCATGCTTGAGGATCTCAACGTTCCCATGGTGATGAATAAAATAGAGGCTCAACTACAGACCTTGTCACAATAAAATGCATAGTTACAGAAAAGCAGAATAAATACTAATATTTGCTGACATTTTTCTTCCATTTTCTTTCTTCCATTTTACAAATACATTTCAGAGATTTTTGCAACTTAAATATTCATGTTGTTTATGTACTCTGCTTTTTCTGCAGGTTAGTTGCAAAGTGTCCCAGTTCATCTACCTGTATCTAATGGGCTGCAATTACTTTTGGATGCTGTGTGAAGGCATTTACCTGCATACTCTTATTGTGGTGGCAGTTTTTGCTGAGAAACAACACTTGCTGTGGTATTACCTGCTTGGCTGGGGTAATGCAATTTCATATTCTATATTTTCAGGCCACTGTTATCTTGAATTGCTTTTCATTAAGATGTGCTTTTCATAAAAACATGAACATTCTGTCCCTTTTCCTCTCTGAGCTGCTAGCTTTGAACAATGATGACATGCTCCTCTGTGTGTGGGGGCTCACCAGGCTCAGAAATGTTAACACAGGAAGCTCTATGTGCTTCTATCTTTGCTGAACGAGAGATTATGCATTTCTGGAGGCAGGAAGTGACTCCTCCTTTGTATAGAGAAAATAAGACTTCTTTTATAAAAAAGACATTAAGAAGTAATTATTCATTGTTCCTCATCTCCAAGATGTTTATACAGGAATGAATGTTTGTTTTCAGAGAAGTCTCGCCATGTCTAGGGTGGAGGGTCAGACCAGAGTTAGACATGGCATGACATGGTTAGACGTTTATTTTTCCAGCAGTTCCATTTGACCTGTATTGTTCGCTAAGCAAACACAGAATCGCTTTAGCTGAAGACCTGAAGTAATAACTAGCAAAGCGAACAAGTCAAGCCCGGTAGTTTCAGATAATGCAGAGCAGCACACTGACAACGTGCAAGTGAGGACTTTTTCCTCAGCTTCAGTGTACGAGCACAGAACGTTCAGCTGTAACGTGCCCTGGTACTTCTGCTCCTATCTGTCTCACCGCAGTCACAGACGAGACGTAGTTCTGAGACCAGGGGTGCTCAGGAGCTTCTGAAAATCACGTATAGGTAGGATGTCAAGCATTCCAAATCACTGCTTTCTTTTCCTTGAGAAAGCTTTTAAGTCAGCATGATTTCCATAGTCCATTTTCAAATATTTTTGCAGGCAGTGTTGTTTTATGAATATCCAGTAAATACCAGTAAAAACATGATCAGCATTTTTAATCATTCTATTACAATTATGAGCACATATACACTTATCTATTAAGTATTACTGTGAATTGCAGTCTGAAAAAAATCTCTGTTACTAAGGGCTGATTTTTATGTTTTAAATAGCTATAATTTAATATGCCTTTTTATTTTTTATGTTGCTGTAGATTTCCTGATAAGAGAGTGGGAATAAGGCTTCATACCCCTTTCCAAGTGAAATTTGAGGAAAATAAGTTTGCAGGGATCAATTAAGTTTCTATTTGTTCTGCAGGCATATAGTTTGAGTGAGCTGAAAATACAGAAGATTCCTGTAAGGGATGCAAATTTACCTAGTGATTAGCCAGGTTTATATAAAGTGAATGTTGTTTTTCCTTCACAGGTTTTCCACTGATCCCTGCATGCATACATGCTGTTGCAAGAAGTTTATATTACAATGACAAGTAAGTAGCATCTTCACTTGCTTTGCAAAACGTCCTCTTTAAAGAAAAAAGAAAAGGAAAAGAACAAATAATAAAATGCCAAATATTACTTTTTCTTTCTCTAGTTGCTGGATCAGCTCTGATACTCATCTGCTGTACATCATCCATGGTCCTATTTGTGCTGCTTTACTGGTAAGCATTTTTCAGATCATTTGTTTTTCTTTCTTGTTTCCTGACTCTTCATGATCTTCTTAGAAATTGTTAAGCCTGGGCTCTAGGGCTAACATTTACAGGTCACTGTCATTTGCAGCATTCCCTCTAGGGTGCTTTAGACACACAAAATAACAAGTCTTGACCTTAATAGCAGCTATATCATGGTCCTACAAGAAACTCAGGTTTTGCGGTACTGGTTGTCATTACATCTAAGTCCTAGTGACAAGGAGGTTCTAAATATTGCCTGGAGTACTGGAGAGACACGTTCAAAACCTCCCTTTAGCTGACGTGCTTCAGTCCTCATTTCTGATTGCCCAGGCCGATGCTGCCAGGCTGGACCTGCCTGGGGTGCAGAGCGAGCTCCGCTGCCCGTCACAGGACTGACGCCAGGTGGGAATCAGTACAGGGCAGAGCAGGAGCTCGGGGACGGAGCAAGGGAAGTAGTTCTGCAAATATGCGTGACTCCCCCTGTCCTGTTACTGATCCAGCAATGTGTGCTTTGGCTGCTGAGATTTTGCGACTCCTTGGCTTCACAAATTCCCGTAATCTTTTAGAGAGCAGAATCCTGCCAGCATAATTAGTGCTAGGATTTCTGCCAGCATGCAGAAATCCTTGCTACTTGAAGCCATTATATTCTAGGCAGGTAACCTAGAATTCTAGGCAAAAAAACTCTATTGATACAAATGTATTAGGGCTAAATTTAATGTATGCAATTCAGTCATGTTATGGTTAAATAGAAACAGGTGGGCAACAAAAGGAAACACCGATGTTTAATATGTAGTTACTTATACAACTATGTACATAATCAGTATCTAAGAGTGCATAATGCAGGTAACACTGCACTGTAGAGGCTGTCTACATGCAGAACTCAATTAGCTGCAGTCATTTCTCTTACTGTAGCAGAATCTTCAAGCTGACCTGACAAAGGCATTTTATGTCTACTGACTTTCCTTATGGCTTTTCAGATTATGCAGGGAAACTCATTAAGAATGAAAATATTCAGTAGACTTTTGGAAACCATTTCAGTCTGTGCATAGAGAATTCTCCCCAAAGACCTGTCAGAGCCTGCGGTTCTTGTGACTGCCAGGCTGTCACATGCTCCTTCACAGGAAAATCAGTGGGTAAATTTATGTTTGAAGAATGCACTGATACCATGATGTGCATGAACACACTGCCCATGAAATTGAGATCATGGCCCTTGAGGTGGGGATTATTACTGCTAATGCCCTGTCCCAATAGTCAGGTCTGCCACATGCAGATCTTATGCTCTAATCTGCATACCTGAAACCAAATCCAAATCATTTTAGCCTTTCTTGTCTTCAGCAGAAGGGTTCACAGAAGTTGATGTGAGTTTTTGCTCATTTCAGTGACATATATGCTATTCTGCGTTATCTGCATTTACACACTGTAAAATTTGAGACTTATACCACCTTCCATGAAGTGACCTCATTATAGGATTTAAGTCATTTTCTCCTTCCCAGCAGTGACCTCCACAAAGTCACACTGAAAACAGTGACAAGACTCCTACTGATTTTAAACGTACCGGATTAGTCTAATCTCAAAATGTCAGGTGTTAGGTCTCTGCAGAAGTCAACACTAGGAATGTCCTTTGACATCCTGGAGGCCTAATAACCTCCTTGGTGTGTGGTTTTGGTGGAATCTATGTCCATTTCCTCTGCAAACTGCCAAAGTGTCTACCCTTGATATGCCCTATATTTTTCATGAGAAGCTGATTGAAAATGTTTCTCTTGCTTTTCATATTTACTTATGGTACTGAGACAAGAAAAATGCATGTGGGAATAATGAAGATTAAACACAACTACACATTTTGCTTGTGATGTGTGGTATGAAAATACCTTAAAAGTGTTTCTCGTCTTTCTGGCAACTATAAAATTTAGTATGTCAATTGAGAACAAGACAAGCCAGGGATGAAGGGAGAAGATAAGTGCATGTGTTTAGGCTGTGTGAACAGAACCTTCATTTGCTTAAGCAGCTTGCTTGCCAGATACAATTTTCACACTTTACTAAGCATGACCTGCTTTAGTAGATGTTTAAGCAACAATATTAAACTGCAAATTAGATAACAAGGGAAACAACACTGTTTCTACTAGCAGGAGCAAGATCTCAAAGAGCATGAAGGGGATGTCCAAGGGGTGCCAGGGAGAATTGGCAAAAGCCAATGGGAATTAGGCCTTTAACTCTTGTATGTCACTGAAAATCCTACAGTTACATAAAGTTAACAACAACGCTGCTTTTACAATCCCTGTTATTATGTAACTACGGTCAGATCCAGGTCAAAGAAGCTCTAAATGGGAGCAGACATAAGTTGCATTTTGATTGAAGTTGTATTCAGTTGCCCACTTAATTGCAAAAGTTTTGTCTAAGCAACCACAACCAAAGAAAAATAGTGTGGGAATGAAACAGTAGCTGCTGGTGTTATGTGAACTTTTACTCTAGGCAAATATTGATCAAAATGGAGGAAAAAAAGAAAATCAATAGATTTGAACTTCAGCGATAGCAGTATTGATTTCAGTGTAGCTTTTCAGATATGCTTTTCAGACCTTTCTTGTTACATTTTGCACTGGTGCCATTGGAAAAATAATAATTAATGCCATTATTTGTATAAACAGCATTAAAGGAATGTTTATTTTGCTGCATAATAATACTATATATTAGTACCTTAACCTTGCAGCCTTGTAAAGATGCAGATGTTAGCAGGAGCAGCAGTGCGAGTGCCCCATGAACATGTCCTACAAGGAAGATCAGGACCCCCAGTTTGTGTTTCTGCCTTTCTCCCTGACCTGTTTCAAGAGTAGAAGCTGGACTTGGTGCAGAGCAGGAGCCTGGAGGCTGAACACTCAGCACGAGTGCGCCCAGCCTCGGGAATGGCCAGTGGTCAGACACAGGACGTGTCCTCAGGGCCATGCCCAGGTGTTCTGCCCAGGCAAGCCGGGCTCAAGCAGGCTCAGGTCTGCAGCCATATGGCTCTTAAAACAGGCAATGACTGCTAGACAGGTCTGAGAATATCCGAGTGTCCTGATCTGAGAATTCTCTGTTTATACCAAGAAAGAATTTAAATCCAAATAAGAATGGTCCCAGCACAAACTGGGCATGGAGAGAAGTAGAAATTTCAGGATCCTGAGTAATTTTCCTCTAAAGAACTGCAGAACCTGTTGAATTTTAAGCTCAGCTATGCTTACGACAATTCTGAAAGCAGAACCCAAAAGCTACTAAGTTTCCAGTATTGGCTCCAACAACACTTAATTCTCTTTCTAATGTAAGATCGCTTTCTCAGCCTTGTTTTAACGACTTGTTTGATTCAATTTTTGTATAACTATGGAGCTGTCTGTATCTTACTATGTGTTTATACTGCAGCAAGCACAACTGGACTTCTCTGGAGCTTACAAACCATCACAGTCAATTTGAAGATAATATTTTGGAAGTAGTTCCACTGGCCAGCTATTGCTTTAATATGAAAATGGTCTACATAA